TCTATTTGCTAATCACATACCACAGAAATAACAAGCAGCAGAACAAGATATTCACATTTTTATTCTTCTTTCTTGTGTATAAAATAAAAGTTTTTGATATAGAACATAAAAATAGAAGCCACCATTACTGGACATACTGACTGCTCAACATAAAAGTCTAGGACCGCTAACACCAAGGCTAGACATCTGGCACTCACACAGAGACAATCAGGAATACGGGTTACCATGGTTACACTAACTTGTCCATTGTCAGGGCCCTGTTATTTCTCTTACGTGCCCTGACCATGTATATATTGTAGAACTGATGTGCACAGATGACTACTACTTCAGAATGTTTGTTGAAGATGACCATGTTGGTTCCACAGTTTGTGTCTGATCCATTTGTTTTTGGACTAAGGAATTGAAATAAATCTTGGTAAGGGCCCTGCTGTTGAACCACTGGGCCCTGACTTAGCATCATGTGACATTTTTCTTTCTTGACTTGTAGGACTTCCTCTTTTTCTCTAAAATGACAATTCTTACAATGGGCAATACCTTAACATTTAGTCCCAATAATTTGACTGAAACTTATGATTTTGTTAAAAATATCTGTACTTCAACAATCACAGTCTCTTGCACGTGGTGTAATGCCATCAAAGTTTCAAATAAAAATAAAAGGTTTTCTTTACTGTTAAGATAAATAATAAAAATGACACGTGACTTGAGATTTGGCCACAGGGTGAACACCTCTAGAAGCTAGCCGACCTTCCACGTTAAACTGCTTGTTTTAAAAGTGTGTGAAGCCCTAGGAGTAAAATGTGATAATTGAACATTCCCCATCCCCTTTGTGTTACAAGAACATTCCTATTGTGTTACATGGACATCCAGTTGTTTCCCTTTTTCACATTCCCATTGTTACATGAACGTCTCTTTTATTTCTATTGACTCACTTCTACACATTCCTAGTTTAACATGAATGTTATCATTATTTCCCTTGAACATTCCTTGGTTTTTTTTAAACATTCCTAATGTTCTACATGAACATTATCATTATTTCCCTTGAACATACCTTGTTGTTTTTTTAAACATTCCTAATGTTTTACATGAACATTATCATTATTTCCCTTGAACATTCCTTGTTTTTTTTAAACATTCTTACTGTTTTACATGAACATTATCATTATTTCCCTTGAACATTCCTTGGTTTTTTTAAACATTCCTACTGTTTTACCCTAAAATTCCTATTGTTTCCCTTTTTCACATTCCCATTGTTACATGAACGTCTCTTTTATTTCTATTGACTCACTTCTACACATTCCTAGTTTAACATGAATGTTATCATTATTTCCCTTGAACATTCCTTGGGTTTTTTTAAACATTCCTAATGTTTTACCCTAAAATTCCTATTGTTTCCCTTTTACACCTTCCTATTGTGTTACTTGTACATTCCTTATTTTCTTGGACATTCCCAATTTTATTAAAACATTCCTCCACTTTTACTTACAAATACAAATTTTCCTGACATTCCATTTGTTTCACAAAAAACATTCCAATATTTAAATCAGCTTGAGCAGAGCTTCAGTAGAACTACACATTTCCATTGTCTATTGCTAATCACCTATCAGCACCAATCATATGTTGGCTTCCATTGTCTATTGCTAATCACCTATCAGCACCAATCATATGTTGGCTTCCATTGTCTATTGCTAATCACCTATCAGCACCAATCATATGTTGGCTTCCATTGTCTATTGCTAATCACCTATCAGCACCAATCATATGTTGGCTTCCATTGTCTATTGCTAATCACCTATCAGTACCAATCATATGTTGGCTTCCATTGTCTATTGCTAATCACCTATCAGCACCAATCATATGTTGGCTTCCATTGTCTATTGCTAATCACCCATCAGCACCAATCATATGTTGGCTTCCATTGTCTGTTTCTACCCTTTCATATTTTCCACCTTTTGTTATCTTATTAATTTTGTCGTCCTTACATGTATATATATGCTCTCTGCCTCATGGCATTCATTCACCTGATGAAGAAGTAAGCATATTCTCCGAAACGTTGTGCTCCTCATAATTAAGAAGTTGACATCCATACATTCTCTTTCTTATGTGTATCACTTCTAAATGCCTTTCAAAGACCTACACATTTCCAGATAACTTTCCTAAATTATCTGTACTTTAGCTGAGTTAAAAAACAACATGCTTTTGAAACTGTGGCAATATTTAGAACACAAAATATGACTCAGTACCTCATTTGAACTTTACAGCTAACATTCTATTCTATGTTTTTCATTTCCGGGTTTTATCATCCAGTGATAATGCTCCTCATGTAAATCAACACTCTTTGTAATTTAATACATATCCTATTACTTAGATGTTCCAGCATGTTTTCAATCCCATTTAGTTTCTACAAAGCAAGTCATAAAATGAAACCGGAGTCTGACAAACTGTCCACCAAATGCATTACGAAATCGTCAAAAAACAGTTGGTGAAACAATTTTATTCAAAAGAGTTCTCCGTTCATGTTGTTTTGAAGGCAAATAAATGAGATTGAAATCGGCTGACATTTACAAACTGCTTTTTCCAAAATTAAATTTATTAAGTTAAAAACTTTAGTATTTGTGATGCTATATGTTTTTAGTATTAACAAGAGATGTTTCTGCTAAAGTGCCATGAAAATTGTGAAATAGATGAATGTTCCTGAATATTCCAACCATAGAATAAGTGGCTTTTAGTCAGTTGGGTTTAATGTCGATTTAAACAGTATTCCAGTTATATCACGGCATGTTGCGTGTCAGCTTGATGTGGGAGGAAAGCCTGAAGTGATCGGTGAGTGAGTGAGTATGGGTTTACGCCCCTTTTAGCAATATTCCAGCAATACAGGGGACACCTGAAATGGGCTTTACACATTGTACCCATATCGGGAGTCAAACCTGGGTCTTCGGCGTGATGGGCGAACGCTTCAACCACTAGGCTACCGACTGCCTCCCTGAAGTGATGAAGGTCTTAGATGTTTACCACCTCAGTGAAACCCTTGAGTACAGGTACGGAGCTGACAAACCAAGGATCAATCAGGGATTCAAACCCACGAACATTGAATCCTGGCACAGCTAGGATACACAACTCTGCTCAACGAGCTCCAGTTCTATAGACAAACTAGGACAGTTATTTCCCCTGAAGGTTAGATCAATACCTAGCAGAAAAACAACATAGTTGACTCAATAAAATTTCAAGTTTTGCACTCCAGCACCTGGGATGCTGTGGTTCAGGCTCCTCTGCATCCGTCTCCCCCCATTACGCAGGTGTTGCTACATACAACAGCAGGAGTTTGTCACAGCGATTACACAACAGCGTGTTGCCCCATTTGTACTTCACAACCCAGGCAATTAATCAAATTGGATCAAGTAATACTGTTCCAATTCAATAATTTTATTGACAGTCGACTGGTTTTTGTTTTTAACCAGCAAATCTTGAAATCTGTACGCAATTATTAATGTAGTTCATTTTAATGACTTTGTGGGGATAATAATTGCTAATTAACAAGCTTAGAGTCTGATGTTTCCTGGATGTGGTTGTGTTGCAGTCAAGAGTTACCTCCCTTGCTTTTTGTGGCAGATTTTGATGTGCTGACTCTTTGCTTTGCAAATAAGGTTTATCTGTAGCCAAATAAAAATTAATGTTCAGTTGTTCAAAACTGTATTCCCGTAATAACCTAGTAGTATCTTGTAAGAGATTATTTATTTATCTTTCATATCTTAGTGCTCCTTTCTTTTCATTGGCCAACTTTCTTTGTCAATAATTCTTAGATATTTTCAGGATATCTTGATTGGTTGGTTCAAAATACAAAACTTCAGAATGATACTCAAAAGATATTACCCAGAAAATGTGCTGAATTTGTTCAGCTTGGTTACCATGACAGCAGTGATGAAACGTACAACAGAAGCTGATTTATCAGTCATAATTCAATAGAACGTCCGCAAGTAGCTCCTCAGCATAACCCTTAACCTTTGCTCTGACCGAGGTCAAATATAGAGGTCAATGTTCACCCCATGACCAAAATGTCACGGTTGATGGGTTTGATAAAACTGACTTAAAAGCAAACTTCACAACAAGTACAACACGAAAGTATTAAACGAAATAGTCCGTCTGACAGACACAGTGCACGCATGAGGCAACGACATCAGCGTCCAACTAAAACATAAAACAAATATATCGGATGAGACTTGAGCCGAGAAGATATTACTGAATTGATATTTGTGAAGCGTTAAATCATTGAGACTACATTGATAGGGTGCGAGTGTCAAACAACTAGAGGACACGGTTCGGACTTTACCGTTTTACCATCAACATTTGTATGGGTCATAATAGAAAACGATCATCATGAATTTTTGTGAATTATATTTGAAAATGAATCATCTTATATTCCTATATTTCATTCTAATGTCTAACCCCGAAAAAATTATTTTCATGTTTTACACAAGCTACCTTCGAATATTTTGTAAACAAAATAAATAAAAATAAAAACAAAAATAATCAAATTACAAAATCATAAATGCCTTTTCATGTCAAATGTTACAAAAGGAATTTTATATCAAGTAAATTAACCTTGAATGAGACCTATCAACAATTATTAGCATTTATTTTGCTTTCTCAACATGGGCATTGTGATAGAAATCCATAACGTGAGAAAGTTAAATTGGTGAATTATGACGTTGGAACTAAATATATCACCAAGTAACTGAGGCGTCTTAAATGCAGGACAAATATGACAGGTGGATATATTCCACATGCAGTGTTGAATATCAGCATTCAGTAGAGGTAATAGACTCTGACATAGCAGTCAGTGAACACAGACACATAGACCAATGAAGTTTCCACTTTCTTTTCATACCCCAACGAATGTTGCTGATTTTTGCCCTATGAATCACCTTGTTTGATAAATATTTCATGAGTATGGAAAATTTACATTCGTTTTGTTCTGAACAGCATATATTACAATTTTGCATGAAGAATCTTTACAAAATTTATTAATTAAATGTACATACAATTGACATAATTTTGTGTCATGTTCATATAATATACAAAATACTTGCGATTTAGACCAAGTATTCTTTCAAGGGCTTTGACATTAAATCGTTAGCATATTAAACACAACAAATAAAAACCAAATATTCACAAATACAATGAACCCATAAAATCACACAGAGACAAAACACAAATTCATGAAAAGAGCTAAAAGTGAAATCAGATCGTATGTATTAAAATATGACTAAAATAAAACCATTAAAATTTAATCATGCTTTGAGCAGCCAGCAGACAGGAAGTGATGTCATCAGGCAGGAAGTGACATCATAAATCCTATACAGGTCACATCCTCCACAGGAAGTGACATCATCCCGAAAAAGGAAGTGACATCATATGAGAACAGGCACATCCTGAGAACCCCAAATTTGGTTCACTCACGAAATAAAAGTCAGTCTCATGTAAGTAGCACTGTATCATCAGGTTGGTATTTAAGCAAATATGGACCATCAGCACTGTGATATCAGTTGATATCATGGACATATTGATATCATAGAAACTGTTGATATCCTTCGGCACCTGTGAAAACAACGTCAATCCAAATTCTCATAGCCTCTGGCGTGGGGGCCACGAGGTAATACGTCCTATCATAGGTTTTCACACAAAATGTCAGTTTAGGGTTTGGACTTTTCACTGTCCGAAGATGATCGACATAAACTTCCTCAATTGCTTGAAAATATATCCCTCCCCGCGCTTTGGTCTCGCCTTTGTCCACATAGTACAACAACGACCGCTTCACTCGGTCAAACACGAACCATCGTTTATGCCATGTTTTGAACTTGTTTCCCATCTTGTGCAGGAAACCACGGCAACTGGTGGGGGTGACATTCACTGTGGGACACGAGTCGATGCTGTGCCCAGCTGTCTCTATGTGTTGTCGGAGATCAAACTCCTTGTTTCTGATTGGTAGATACCTCGTCAATGGCCGCGCCTAGAAAGAAAAGAGTATTAATCTTAAGGTAATGCAACATGAGTCGAGTCTACTTTTATGCACAAAAAAAAGGTATGAATAAGAACAAAATATATTGTAGAAAGGTATTTAATAGCTATGTGAAAGGTGAAAGTTGAAAGGTGCTACAGAGGGGAAATATGCCTCTCGCCTTCACTTCAGTGCAACAAACGTGGCGATACTGGTTTAACATCCAATAAGCACTTGTAGGATCTTTCAACACATCAAGCAGCAAGCACCTGTTGAATCTTTCAACACATCAAGCAGCAAGCATCTGTTGAATCTTTCAACACATTAAGCAACAAGCACTTGTTGGATGTTTTAACATATGAAGCAGCAAGCACCTGTTGAATCTTAGAACACATCAAGCAACAAGCACCTGTTGCATGTTTTAACATATCAAGCAGCAAGCACCTGTTGAATCTTTCAACACATCAAGCAACAAGCATCTGTTGAATCTTTCAACACATCAAGCAGCAAGCACTTGTTGGATGTTTTAACATATGAAGCAGCAAGCACCTGTTGGATCCTTCAACACATCAAGCAACAAGCACCTGTGGCATGTTTTAACATATCAAGCAGCAAGCACCTGTTGTTCGGTCAACACATCAAGCAACAAGCACCTGTTGTCCGGTCAACTCATCAATATCTGTTGGATCTTTTAACACATCAAGCAATATAAGCACCTGTTGGATTTTTTGACACATCAATTCATAAGCACCATTTGTTAAACACATAATGTATGACCCAACAAGAACCTTCAACACATTATCAACAGACAAGCACCTGTTGGATCTATTTCAACACATGATCAACAGACAAGCACCTGTTGGATCTATTTCAACACATTTCAACCAAACAAGCACCTGTTGGATCTACTTCAACACATTTCAACCAAACAAGCACCTGTTGGATCTATTTCAACACATTTCAACCAAACAAGCACCTGTTGGATCTATTTCAACACATGATCAACAGACAAGCACCTGTTGGATCTATTTCAACACATGATCAACAGACAAGCACCTGTTGGATCTATTTCAACACATTATCAACAAACAAGCACCTGTTGGATCTATTTCAACACATGATCAACAGACAAGCATCTGTTGGAGCTATTTCAACACATTTCAACCAAACAAGCACCAGTTGGATCTATTTGAACAAGCACCAGTTGGACTTCTACACACCTGCTGTATTTGTTTTTCCCTCATCTTGACCTGTTGTTGTACCAGCTCCTCCCGGAGCATCGTCTCCTCCTGCAACTTCCTCTCCAGCACTTCTCTCTTCTGTCTCTCCTCGTGGAGTGCCATCATCTCAGCTTCACGAATATGTACCTGCAACAGTCAGCTTGCTACAGACAACATGCAGCAATTGGTTGGTTGGTTGTACACACCACTCAGCAATATTCCAGCTATATGATGGCGGTCTGTAATAATCGAGTCTGGACCACACAATCCATCATGAGCATCGATCTACGCAATTGGGATACGATGACATGCATCAACCAAAGCAGTGAGCCTGACCACCCGATTGCTGAAGTGAGTGAGTGAGTGAGTGAGTGAGTGAGTGAGTGAGTGAGTGAGTGAGTGAGTGAGTGAGTGAGTGAGTGAGTGAGTGAGTGAGTGAGTGAGTGAGTGAGTGAGTATGGCTTTACGCCACTTTAAGCAATATTCCAGCAATATCACAGCGGGGGACACCTGAAATGGGCTTCACACATTGTACCCATGTCAGGAATCGAACCAAGGTCTTTGGCATGACGAGCGAACGCTTTAACCACTAGGCTACCCAACCACCCCCAATTGCTGAAGACCAATTCTTACCCAGATCTTCACGGGTTGCAGCAACTGGTAAACAAGGAAGATTTAGCTACCAAAGTAAAGGGGAATATACACTCTGAGCTAAATAAAGTACTTCTTTTTAGAGTTTAATTCACTTAGATACCCAGCAAGATCCTCAGTCTGAGACTTCAGCCACTTCTCTGAAGGCGGAGTCCAGATGATGTTAGGTTATATGCTCCATACATTAACACTAAGATCTGAAGAGAATGGCGCCATGACACAAATTTGGGAAAGTAGACTCAGAACAATTGGGCAAAGACAATATCTTTACTGTTGTCCATCAGAATCTGTACGACAGCAAACACCACTATTCTCAACCGTAGTCCTGACACAACAAGAAAGTTGGGGCAAATCTCGAGCCTCGATCATAAAATCTAGGCAAAAAGTCCCAGTGCCAATGGAATGAACCCAGCACTTAATATTCACTGGAGGGCCTGAGAGTCTTGTCGACATATTTTATTGGTCACATATTGAAAGTTTTTGACCATCACAGATTGCTGGGAAACTATTGTAACCGGAGCCCCTACAGAGCTGGCGGAATAATTCGTGCAAAACAATAGTCAGGCCAATACCCCTTGCAGTGTATCTAACTCTTAATTAAGATAAATTAATTAATTTTTGTAATTTTTTTTATTTCAATTCAAGAGACATATATCTTTAACATAGGAACAAGAGGTTGTATGTGTAGCACTTCATAGGATCTTAAAACATGATCAAGATATGGGTAGTTAATTAAGAGTTATCTAACCTGTTCTTCCACCAGGTGGAGCTTGTCTGCCTGTGCCTGTGCAAGGAGCAGCTCCAGCTCGGCTAGTTTCTCCAGTTGTCCCTCTCCACTGCTCAAACTGCAACACAAACCCAACACTCAATATGGCTCTAAAATCGTGTTTCACTGCCAAAAGAAACAGAAAATCAACACTCAATACGGCTCTAAACTCGTGTTTCACTGCCAAAAGAAACAGAAAATCAACACTCAATACGGCTCTAAACTCGTGTTCCACTGCCAAAAGAAACAGAAAATCAACACTCAATACGGCTCTAAACTCGTGTTTCACTGCCAAAAGAAACAGAAAATCAACACTCAAAACGGCTCTTAAAGCGTGTTTCACCGCCAAAAGAAACAGAAAATCAACACTCAATACGGCTCTTAACGCGTGTTTCACCGCCAAAAGAAACGTGAACCATAGAAACATACGTTAAGAAGAGATGTTTCCAATGTGTACCACTTAATGACTAACAATCAGTCATGTGTTACCACATATGCTGCACGTGATTTCTAACTTTACATGCTAATCCTCCACAGGAGAAATGGTGCATCTCGAGTCATGGATCTATGACGTCACATGTGATGCGTTCACGAGTGTCAGTTCACACAACACACCAGTATGTCGTTTGTGCATCAAACCAATCTAATATCACTTGAATATGAGAAAGTCTTCACATGTTAACCAATATGTATTGTATTCGCTTTCTCTTGGTGGTGAGAATATGTCAGGATAGGTGAAATATATTCCCATTTGCCCCACTATTTGGTCTTAAGTTCAGCATGTACTATTGAATTTCTTTTAACCGTGTAGATTTGAAGCATAAGGAAAGACTTTGCTTAATTCAAATCAAGACTCAACATCATTCTGAGTTGAGTTAACATATCCTGGTTGTCATATGTGCTAGCCAACTCTCACAATCGGCCAAAGTCTTAAAAGGTACAATCAATGAATTCCCTCACCGAAAGTGGTGATTTTTAGTTTTTTTTAGAAATGCTAATAAATCTAAAGTAAAGACCACATGGAAAGGAGAGAGAGTGAGATGATGATAATAACAATCATCGGCGACAGGGATAGTTTTGTAAGTAAATCTGAGAAATATAATCTAGCAGGTATATTTACAAGGTGGGGTGAAATTGGGTTTAACGTTGCGTCCAAGATTATTGCACTTGTATAGTGACGTGCATGTACGTGTGTGTGTATGTGGCTGCTTGTACTAGTCTGGACTGATGCCGATTTATAGTGCTAGCTCACTGAGATACCATGCCGCAGTTTAACATGAATACCCCACTCAGACACAGTTTACTGACTCCGAACCGACCAGTCCTTGTTTTAGCCCTTTAATGCCGAGCGCCAGACAGGGTAACAACAAGTACCATCTTTTAACGTCTTTTGGTACGCCGCCGGGGATCGAACCCCGGACCTTCCGCTCTCCGGGCGGACACTCTACCACTAGACCAGGGAGGCGGTGTTTATTTACAAAGGAAGGCCAGCAATGTTCAAGACAGTCTAGTTCTGTTTATGGATCACCAGCCTGCCTGCCTTGTTGCATGTTCCCGAGGCAAGCGTGTCCTCCAGCCAATATTTAAGCCTTGTTATTACCCTTGCCACATCAAGGCCATTTTCTTGGCTCGACCCTGGGTAGATCAGGAGTTATGTAATGAAAACGAGATATCAAATCAGATCGCTGTTCTTATCTTGTATAGCTTCACAAAGATGGCGGCTACCATAGACGACGATCAGATAACAAAAACATTCGCGATTTCATCCCTGACACAAAAATGTAGGCAATCGTTGGGGGGATAAAAAGATGAAAAAGACATGTCAATAAGGACAGGCAGTGGTAAATTACTTTCATATGAAGGTGTACCAGTCGTTGATGTTGATTTGGTGAAATGTTCTTTCAGTAGCTAATTAACCTCAAAAAGAAAATTATGCGAATTTAGAAAGTATCGCCCAAATCTATCGGCACACAACTATCAGAAAAGGTAATTTTTTACTTTTGGTACTTTACGTTGAGCGGCATGCAGTCCGATATTTTCTTTATCATTTTATCATTTTTCACATTCGATCATAATATTTTGTTAGCTGACAAAAATAAGACATTCAAGTTCCTTAATTTTTAAAAAATAACAAGTTTCGGTGTAATCAATTGAAAATAAAAACAATCTGAATCATAACATGATCGACTGAAAAAAGAATGTAACATTAACAGAAGTGCAATAAAATCCTTGCCCACAACTAGCCATGTAATGGGAGTGAGTGAGTGAGTGAGTGAGGTTTTACGCCGCTTTTAGCAATATTCCAGCAATATCACGGCGGGGGACACCAGAAATGGGCTTCACACATTGTACCCATGTTGGGAATCGAACCCGGGTCCTCGGCGTGACGAATGAACGCTTTAACCACTGGGCTACCCGACCGCCCCACATGTAATGGGAAAGAGACATGTCAGAATATTGTGTTATATTCAATGAGTGAGTGAGTTGGGTTTAACGCCGCTTTATCAGTATTCCAGTTAGATCACGGCGTGTCAGCTTAATGTGGGAGGAAAGCCCGAAGGGATGCAGGTCTCAGGTGTCTACCACTTCGGTGAAACCCACGAGCACAGGTATGAAACATAATCATAAAAACTTAGAAACATAATCGGGGCGAACCGGGATTCGAACCCACAATCATAGGTTTCTGGCGTGCCCAAGGGACACAACTCTGCACAGCGAATCACAGCGCCTTAGACGATTGGGCCCCCTGTGCCCCTGTTTTTTAATGAGCTAAAAGAAACACCCAAATGCTCATTTCTTAAAAACATGTACACACTACAATAGAATTTTGGGAGAACATCGCTTTCACTCCAATTGATACTATGTTTTACAGTGTAAAAACAAGACTGAAAATTCATAACAAACGGACCATTTGTCTTTTCTTGTCAAATGATATGTTTATCTCAACCCTGTGTCACTCATAGCCACCATGTTAGGTCACTCAATGAGAATTAATTAATATTTGACAAAATTTGGTTCACTTGTTTGTTGTTTGAAGCTGCGTTCAGCAATATTCCAGCAAAATGACAGCAACATGGAAACTATCAAATCTGGACCAGAAAATCCAGTGATTGATATTGCAAGTAACGATCCATTGCATAGAGGTAGAATCACACACAATCAACCAAGTCACGGAGCCTGACCACCCAATCCTCTACTGCACCTGGTGTCACACGCAATCAACCAAGTCATGGAGCCTGACCATCCAATCCTCTACTGCACCTGGTGTAACACGCAATCAACCAAGTCATGGAGCCTGACCACCCAATCCTCTACTGCACCTGGTGTCACACGCAATCAACCAAGTCATGGAGCCTGACCACCCAATCCTCTACTGCACCTGGTGTCACACGCAATCAACCAAGTCATGGAGCCTGACCACCCAATCCTCTACTTCACCTGGTGTCTGACCACCCAATCCTCTACTGCACCTGGTGTCACACGCAATCAACCAAGTCATGGAGCCTGACCACCCAATCCTCTACAGCACCTGGTGTCACACGCAATCAACCAAGTCATGGAGCCTGACCACCCAATCCTCTACTGCACCTGGTGTCACACGCAATCAACCAAATCACGGAGCCTGACCACCCAATCCTCTACTTCACCTGGTGTAATGAGTGGCTAGGGACGGACTATGACCTAACCTACATCCAGAAACTGTGACTCAATCATCATCGGTATCTCATCTGCCACGAGTCTGCAAGTTTCGTTCCGTCTTGTCTGCCTGGCATTGTCTTGCTGACATTAAGTCTCATGTTTCAGTAATGGAATTGACTTACTCGGAAGCAGCCATTCCTAATTAATCAATATATAGTACTGTGGATCTATATCGTAACTGTTGCATTGCTGATGATCTTTATAGTAGCTCTCCTCTAACTCACCCTTGCATAATCATATTGATGTTGGTAGATATAGTAGCTCTCCTCTGACTCTTGCATAATCAGATTGATGATGATATTTATAGTAGCTCTCCTCTAACTCACTCTTGCATAATCATATTGATGATGATATTTATAGTAGCTCTCCTCTAACTCACTCTTGCATAATCATATTGATGATGATATTTATAGTAGCCCTCCTCTAACTCAATCTTGCATAATCAGATTGATGATGATATTTATAGTAGCTCTCCTCTAACTCACCCTTGCATAATCATATTGATGTTGGTAGATATAGTAGCTCTCCTCTGACTCTTGCATAATCAGATTGATGATAATTATAGTAGCTCTCCTCTAACTCACTCTTGCATAATCAGATTGATGATGAAAATTAATAATAAATAGTAGCTCTCCTCTAACTCACTCTTGCATAATCATATTGATGATGATATTTATAGTAGCTCTCCTCTAACTCACTCTCGCATAATCATATTGATGATGATATTTATAGTAGCTCTCCTCTAACTCACTCTTTCATAATCAGATTGTTGATGATATTTATAGTAGCTCTCCACTAACTCACACTTGCATAATCAGATTGATGATGATATATACAGTAGCCCTCCTCCAACTCACTCTTGCATTAACAGGTTAATGATGATATTTATAGTAGCTCTCCTCTAACTGACTCTTACATAATCAGATTGATGATGATATATATAGTAGCTCTCTTCCAACTCACTCTTGCATTAACAGGTTAATGATGATATTTATAGTAGCTCTCCTCTAACTGACTCTTACATAATCAGATTGATGATGATATATATAGCAGCTCTTCTCCAACTCACAGGATCATGATGATAACAAAAATAACAACCTCTCCTCCCTTGCATAATGATGCAGCTGACAACAACAACAACAACAACAACAACAACATCAACAACCACCACCTCTCCCCTCTCACTCACCCTGGGATAGACATAGGCTTGCCACAGAACCAGCAGTACTCCAGCTGGTAGCTGGCCGCGATAGTTTGCCGTGACACCAGTGTCTGCAGCGTGCCATTCACCGACTTACATATACCATTTTTCTTCACAATGGGCACGCCTGCCCGGCGCTCCATATTGAACATTATGGCGGCACTGTCACCACTCTGTGT